AAATGGAGTCGAGATAAGTGGAGGGCAGGAGCAGGCGGACACAATGGGTCAACCAGGGCAGTCAGTCCAGGTCCTATCTCGACTCCATTTTCTCCCCCTTGGTCCAGGAACTCCCTACCTACATCCGTGACACCACCCATGCCGTGAACTTCCAATTCCCCAGTCCCCAACACCTCATCTTTACCATGGACGTCCAGTCCCTATATACCTGCATTCCCCATGCTGATGGGCTAAAGGCCCTCCGCTTCTTCCTGTCCCGCAGGCCCGACCAGTCCCCCTCCACTGACACCCTCATCCGCTTAGCCAAACTCGTCCTCACCCTCAACAACTTCTCTTTCAATTCCTCCCACTTCCTACAAAGGGGGTGGCCATGGGTACCCGCATGGGCCCAAGCTATGCCTGCCTCTTTGTAGGTTATGTGGAACAATCCCTCTTCCATAGCTACACTGGCCCTATCCCTCACCTCTTCCTCCTTTACATCGATGACTGTATCGCCACCTCGTGCTCCCATGAGGAGCTCGAATGGTTCATCCACTTCACCAACACCTTCTACCCCAACCTTAAGTTCACCTGGGTCATCTCTGATACCTCTCTCTCCTTCCTGGACCTCTCTGTTTCCATCTCTGGCAACCACCTGGAAACCGATATCCATTTCAAGCCCACCGACTCCCACAGCTACCTAGAATACACCTCCTCCCACCCACCTTCCTGCAAAAATGCCATCCCCTATTCCCAATTCCTTCGCCTCCACTGCACCTGCTCCCAGGATGAGGCATTCCACTCCCGTACATCTCAGATGTCCTCGTTTTTCAAGGACCGCAACTTTCCCCCTCAGTGGTCGAGAACGCCCTCGACCGTGTCTCCCACATTTCCCGCAACTCATCCCTCACACCCCGTCCCCGCAATAACAACCAAAACAGAAGCCCCCTCGTCCTCACGTACCACCCCACCAACCTCCGGATCCAACGCATCATCCTCTGACACTTCCGCCATCTGCAATCCGACCCCACCACCAAAGACATTTCTCCCTCCCCACCCTTATCTGCTTTCCGGGACTCTCTCCGGGACTCCCTTGTCCGCTCCACACTCCCCTCCAGCCCCACCACACCCAGCACTTTTCCCTGCAACCGCAGGAAGTGCTACACCTGCCCCTACACCTCCCCCGTCACCTGCATCCCAGGCCCCAAGAAGACTTTCCACATCAAGCAGATGTTCACCTGCACATCTGCTAATGTGGTATACTGCATCCGCTGTACCCGGTGTGGCTTCCTCTACATCGGGGAAACCAAGCGGAGGCTCAGGGACCCTTTGCAGAACACCTACGCTCGGTTCGCAATAAACAACTGCACCTCCCAGTTGCGAACCATTTCAACTCCCCCTCCCATTCCTCAGACGACATGTCCATCCTGGGCCTCCTGCAGTGCCACAACGATGCTACCTGAAGGTTGCAGGAACAGCACCTCATATTCCGCTTGGGAACCCTGCAGCCCAATGGTATCAATGTGGATTTCACAAGCTTCAAAATCTCCCCTCCCCCTACCGCATCCCAAAACCAGCCCAGCTTGTCCCCACCTCCCTAACCTGTCCTTCCTCCCACCTATCCCCTCCTCCCACCTCAAGCTCCACCCCCATCTCCTACCTACTAACCTCATCCCGCCCCCTTGACCGGTCCGTCCTCCCTGGACTGACCTATCTCCTCCCTAACTCCCCACCTACACTCACCTTTACTGGCTCCATCCCCGCCTCTTTGACCTGTCTGTCTCCTCTCTGCCTATCTTCTCCTCTATCCATCTTCTATCCACCTCCCCCTCTCTCCCTATTTATTTCAGAATCCCCTTCCCCTCCCCCATTTCTGAAGAAGAGTCTAGGCCCAAAACGTCAGCTTTCCTGCTCCTCTGATGCCGGCCTGCTGTGTTCATCCAGCTCCACACCATGGTATCTCCTTAAATCCCAGTTCTTTTAGGAAGTTTTTGATAACTCCTTCCGGTCTTTCAATCACTACCTTGACATCCAATCATCTTTACTGCTTTGTGATTTTGGTTTCTAGGCTAAAGATGTGATATGAATTTTATCTCCAAAATGATCAATTGCCATTTTGAAACCACTGAATGTCAGTGAACTATCCCTACTGAGAAGTTGTTTTTGCCAGCCCAGGTAAATTCAGAACAGGGAGAAACCCAAAGGAGTGCAACATTGCTCATTTAGAAAACAGATCCTGAAGATCAATGAAGTTTATAGGTTGATCTGAGCAGATACAAATAACTGCTCACTTAGAGGCATGAAGTCTGCACATAGCAAGAGAGGTCATTATTACACAGAAAATGTCCACTTCATCTCTTGATAAATATCTTTAAACTTAACTATTTCAGTATTTTGAGCAATTTACTCTTGCTTAGAAGCAAATTCAATGCTTTTCTCTCTGCAATTGCTTTTCTACTCACCGAAATATATTCCCATTTTATTGTAAAATTCCTGTTCTAAATAATGCATTTTAATTTGCAAGCTCTGAAAAGGATCATGTAGCATCTTCCATTCCAAACAGAATGGGGTTCAGTTTTATTCACAACAACCTTTCTTTTACGACGTCATTCTGGAGCATTGTCAAAACTTTCTTTTTCCAGTCTTGTATTTTGAACAGTCAGGTGCTATGTCCTACTTACTGAATATTTTTTCCATTCATCCCTCTCTGTTTTAGACACCCATCTTTGTTCTGCCATTTCTGTATCCTGACACCGATCATTTTGTACCTGGAAATAACAGATTTGGAATAAAGAACCGTGAAAAAAACAATTGTATATTTCTTTTCACCACTTCAAGGAAAAAACATTTTTCAGACAATATTAACATAGCGTCATAGACACATAAACAAAATAATATTTAGGGCCCTCACAATGATTTGGTTAGTGCTTACGTAGAGTTTTGCTTTGTCATGACCACACTGGATATGTCTGAGGAGTGGTCCATGAACTGTGAATCTGTTCAGCTCATTTCATTCTTCCTTTAATTTCTGATGTGTTTCAATTTAAAGAACTCGGCTGCAGTTCTTGTTCATTTTCCACTCCAGAAGTGCAAATTCATTATCATTGGAAAAGGACAATCATGCATCAAGAGTAACCACTTGTCTAAGTTACAGTTACAAATGCCAAAGAATGAGCCAACATCTTCAGTGTTGTTAAATGCTGAAAGTGTCCATTCCTTTATGGGTGAAAAGCATGAGGGGAGAAAGAATTTATATCAACCTACAAGGCATTTCTTCTCTTTCTAACACAGCCTTTCTGGACTAAGCTTTACTTTTTCATCAAGTGGATTGAGATCAAGTTACTGCAAGTCTTGGTCCAGGAGGAAGAACACAGAACAGTACAGACCCTTCGGCCCACGATGTTGTGCCAAACAATCCTTGGTGGGTAGGATTAAAGGAAAAACCCAGGGTGTTCTTTGCTTATGTGAGGAACAAGAAAATGGCCAGAATGAGGGTAGGGCCGATCAGGGATAGTGGAGGGAACTTGTGCGCAGAGTCAGAGGAGGTTCTTAATGACTATTTTGCTTCAGTATTCACCAGTGAGAGGGATCTTGACGTTTGTGAGGACAGCATGAAATAGGCAGGTATGCTCAAAAAGGTTGATGTTAGGAAGGAGGATATGCTAGAAATTTTGAAAAACATGAGGATAGATAAGTCCCCTGAGCCAGACGGGATATACCCAAGGTTATATATATGGGAAGTGAGGGAAGAGATTGCTGCCCCTTTGGTATTGATCTTTGAGTCCTCAGTGTCCACTGGAGTAGTACCAGGTGATTGGAGGGTGGCAAATGTCTTTCCTTTGTTCACGAAAGGGAATAGGAATAATCCTGGCAATTACAGACCAGTTAGTCTTACTTCTGTGGTGGGCAAATTATTGGAGAGGATTCTGAGAGATAGTATTTGTGATTATTTGGAAAAACACAGTTTGATTAGAAATAGTCAGCATGGCTTTGTGAGGGGCAGGTCATGCCTCATAAACCTTATTGAATTCTTTAAGGATGTGACAAAACACATCAATGAAGGTAGAGCAGTGGATGTGATGTATATGGATATTAGCAAGGTACTTGATAACATTTCCCATGGTAGGCTCATTCAGAAAGTAAGGAGGCATGGGATTCAGGGAAATTTGGCTGTCTGGATACAAAACTGGCTGTCCAATAGAAGTCAGAGGGTGTAGCAGATGGAAAATATTCAGCCTGGAGCTCGGTGACCAGTGGTATGCTGCAGGGATCTGTTCTGGGTCCTCTGCTCTTTCTGATCTTTATAAATGACTTGGATGAGGAAGTGGAAGGGTGGGTTAGTAAGTTTGCCGATGACACGAAGGTTGGTGGAGTTGTGGACAGCATCGAGGGCTGTTGTAGGTTGCAACGGGACATTAACAGTATGCAGAGCCGGGCAAAGAAGTGGCAGATGGAATTCAACCTAGAAAAGTGTGAAGTGATTCATTTTGGAAGGTCAAATTTGAATGCAGAATACAGGGTTAATGGCAGGATTCTTGGCAGTGTGGAGGAACAGAGGGATCTTGGGGTCCACGTCCATAGATCTCTCAAAGTTGTGACCCAAGTTGATAGGGTTGTAAAGAAAGCGTATGGTGTGTTGGCTTTCATTGGCAGGGGAATTGAGTATAAGAGCTGTGAGGTTATGTTGCAGCTCTATTAAACCCTGGTTAGACCACACTGGGAATATTGTGTTCAGTTCTGGTCACCTCATTATAGGAAGGATGTGGAAGCTTTAGAGAGGGTGCAGAGGAGATTTACCAAGATGCTGCCTGGACTGGAGGGCAGGTCTTATGAGGAAAGGTTGAGGGAGCTAGGGCTTTTATCATTGGAGCAAAGAAGGATGAGAGGTGACTTGATAGAGGTGTACAAGATGATGAGAGGCATAGATAGAGTGGATAGCCAGAGACTTTTTCCCAGGGCGGAAATAATTATTACGAGGGGACATAATTTTAAGGTGATTGGAGGAAGGTATAGGGGAGATGTCAAAGGTAGGTTCTTTACACAGAGAGCGGTGGGTGTGTGGAATGCGCTGCCGGCAGTGGTAGTGGAGTCAGATACTTTAGAGACTTTTAAGCGACTCTTGGATAGGCACATGGAGGATATTAAAAAGTAGGGTATGCAGGATAGTTTGATCTTAGTAGAATAATAGGTCGGCACAACATCATGGGCCGAAGGGCCTGTACTGTACTGTACTGTTCTATGTTCTAAGTTCTATTCTGACTGAAGGTGACGTTATCCCATGTAAGCAGTGTCTTCTCCACCAGTACCATAATGAAACAAGCATGGTTCCAGGATGGGGAACAAGGTTAGGGCCACCGTGGACTGGCACGCCGACATTCCAGGTGTTTAAGGCTTTCACTGTTTAATGACATAAGGTGAACCCTTTACTAAAAAACAGAACCCTTCAACAGACTGTCATCTTTAGACGTCTGCTGAAATCACGAGAATTACGCAGGCAATGAACAGTATACTCTAACAATCCACAAGCAATATCTGATTATATTCTGAGCTGCACCGTTAATGATCTTGAATAACCAGAACTGGCCCATGCTGTTACAAAAAGAGCAATTGTGTTTTGATTGATTTTGTGATATATCAGAGTTTAATTGTACCTCAATTAGCTGGCATCATTTGAATCTAATGAAATCTTATCCCAGTGATACCTTCCTGTGCACTTTTCATTGTGTAATTAAGTCAGCTTGTCCAGTTTTGACAGTTATAATCCTGAAGAAGTTACAAAATACAAAATCGATACTCCACTGCCTTTACACTTTCTTTTCTAGTTATTTAAGAAACAAATAACATCACTTGGCTCCTCATTACATAGAATTAAAGTATGCCCAACATTAAAATGTTAACAACTTAATGCAGGCAATTTAAAAAGACTGAAACGGTCATTTTAAAAAAAAAAATGGTCTTTACAATAGTTGAACATAAAAATTATGGCAATTGTGCCAAATTACATAGCATTAGATTCAGCTTAGCTCAGCGAGAGTCCTCAGATACACAGTAGTTTCAAGCCCTATTCCAGGTGATACTTCTGTATGTTGTCAAAGGTGCCAACATTCAGATGAGACACAGAAGCTGATGGCTAAGTCTGTTCATAAACCAGGACATTGCAGTTCCCCGTGTCCTGTCCATCATTTACTATTAGCAAAACTATTCAACTGTCATTGTTATTATTCGTGTGATCTTGGTATGGACGAATGACCTGCTTTTGTTTTAGAAAACTATACCTCAAAATTATCAATGAATAGTGATGTCCTTAGGTACATTTTGCGCACAACAAAGGCACAATTTAAATTCAACGTCTTTCTTTATCTCAAAGAATGTTGGTCCTATGCTAATTCACATTTTTTTTTATTAACTCGTGAGAAATATTTAATTGAACTGCACTTACAAAAAATTCAAAGAAGATAGAGTTATCCAGATATTGATAATCAAATGTAACACTTCCTGATTTCTTCAGGTGTACTGAATAGATGAGGGAAACTGTGCAATCATCTCTGTTTGAAGCAATGTAACTTCCTCGGGGAATCCAGGAGGATCTGTAAAATCATCAGTTAATTGCAAGTAAAATTACTCCAAATGATGAAAGAAATAAAAGTCAGATCTTGCTTTCTTTAGAAAGTTTCACTGAAAGAACAATGAGGTGAGTATGCATTTTTCTTTCATGAGAGGCTTTTTCATTAGGGATGTCAGCTTTCCTGCTCCTCTGATGCTGCCTGGCCTACTGTGTTCCTCCAGCTCCACACTATTATCTCAATTTCCAGCATTGGCCGTTCTTACAATCTCTTCTTTAGGAAGGGGCTGTGTACTTTCTCCTCAGCTTATTTGCAATGGTAAATTGTAAATACTGGACAGAGTGCTGGTTTCCAGCATGTTGGATCCTCAAACTCAACAACAGCAAACTTAAATTATTCAATAAGACCAGCAATTGCACTCATTAGGGGAGTGAACTGCAATATCATTTGGAGTTCTGCATTCCAACCTCAGGCATGTCAATTTCAAAATACAACATACTACATTCTAGTTAATTTCTTGCAGACTGGAAGCTGTGGTTTTTGGAATGTATTTTAGGGATTTAAAGTGCTAGATATTGAATATACTGCCCGCTAATCATTTTCAAATGTGTGTGTCAATTTTGAATTTCTTTTGCTGTACATGATTGTAATATGGCCACACCCATTAACTGGATTTCACGACACAGTAGCTGTAATGTCAAATCTCTCCACGGTAGCTGCTGGAATTTAAATTCAACTAATAATTTTGGAACGTAGGGCTAATCTAGTCATAGTGGCCAGAGCCAGGGATGGAATTCACATACTCCTTCTCCCAACCCCACGCCCTGACCCCAATGCAATTACCCACTAGAGCACCGGGCTTTGATGTCCCCCCCAAACACCCTCCCCATCCCAAGTCCTGATGGTGACCATGACAGCTACTAATTGTTGTAAAAGCTCACGCGATTCACTAATGGAAGAAAATATGCTGTTCTTATCTCACCTACATGATTCCAGAGCCACAGTAATGTGGCTGACTCAGACCATATAGAACCAACGTTCTGAGGAAGCGTCACTCAACATGAAACTTTGACTCTGATTTCTCTCCACAAATGCTGCCAGACCTGCTGAGCTTTTCCAGAAATTTCTGCTTTTGTCCCTGATTCTTACCTTTGTAAGTGGCTTGTATAAACTTTCAACATAGACAGCATGGAACAATAATCTGTTGCTGGTTTACTTACGAGTTACAATTGTTACTGCTGGTACTACTCTTTCCCATATCGTCCACAAATGTTGCTACAGTTGAAAATCCAAGTGGCATAGTATCCCAGTCATCAAATCGAATGCCACTTCCCAGGGAGTAACTCCCTGCTGCACATTTACTGCAGTTCTGGTTTTGTAGTTCCAGAAACTCCCCTGATCCACAAGAAAAGGCTGGAAAACAGAAAAAATTAAGGCATGATTGCAAATCACACAGATTGCAGTCTGTTTTTTGGTTCAATAGGAGATGCTCAAATCCCCAAGTTTGAAAGCTGGTTCACTCCTGAGACTGTTAATGTACTTTTACATAGAGGTTTTACAGCATGAAAAAGGCCCTTCAGCCCACTGTCAAATCTACTAGACTTTTTTTAAAATGGCACTAATAGAGTTAATAAGGGCATGCTGGTGGATGCGGTTTACTTGGACTTTCAGAATGCTTTTGCTAAAGTCCCACAAAAGAGAGTGGCATATAAAATTAAAGGGATTAAGGGTAGTGTACTGACATAGATAGGGAACTGATTAGCAAACAGGAAACAGAAAGTAAGAAGAAATGGAGTCAGAGATAGTAGGAACTGCAGATGCTGGAGAATCCGAGACAACAAGGTGCAGGGCTGGATGAACACAGCAGGCCAAGCAGCATCATAGGAGCAGAGAGGCTGACGTTTCGGGCCTAGACCCTTCATCAGAAAAGGGGGAGGGGAAGGGGGTTTTGAAATAAATAGGGAGAGAGTGGGAGGCGGATAGAAGATGGATAGAGGAGAGGACAGGTGGAGAGGAAACAAACAGGTCGAAGAGGCGGGGATGGAGCCAGTAAAGGTGAGTGTAGGTAAGGAGTTAGGAAGGGGATAGGTCAGTCCAGGGAGGACGGACAGGTCAAGGGGGCGGGATGAGGTTGGTCGGTAGGAGATGGAGGTGCGGCTTGAGGTGGGAGGTGGGGATAGGTGGGAGGAAGAACAGGTTAGGGAGGCAGGGACGAGCTGGACTGGTTTTGGGATGCGGTAGGGGGAGGGGAGATTTTGAAACTTGTGAAATCCACATTGATACCATTGGGCTGCAGGGTTCCCAAGCGGAATATGAGTTGCTGTTCCTGCAACCTTCGGGTGGCATTGTTGTGGCACTGCAGGAGGCCCAGGATGGACATGTCGTCTGACGAATGGGAGGGGGAGTTGAAATGGTTCGCGACTGGGAGGTACAGTTGTTTATTGCGAACCGAGCATAGGTGTTCTGCAAAGCGGTCCCCGAGCCTCCGCTTGGTTTCCCCGATGTAGAGGAAGCCACACCGGGTACAGCGGATGCAGTATACCACATTGGCAGATGTGCAGGTGAACATCTGTTTGATGTGGAAAGTCTTCTTGGGGCCTGGGATGGGGGTGAGGGAGGAGGTATGGGGGCAGGTGTAGCACTTCCTGCGTTGCAGGGAAAAGTGCCGGGTGTGGTGGAGCTGGAGGGGAGTGTGGAGCAGACAAGGTTGTCACAGAGAGAGTGGTCCCTCCGGAAAGCAGATAAGGGTGGGGAGGGAAAGATGTCTTTGGTGGTGGGGTCGGATTGCAGATGGCGGAAGTGTCGGAGGATGATGCGTTGGATCCGGAGGTTGGTGGGGTGGTACGTGAGGACGAGGGGGATTCTTTTTTGGTTCTTATTGCATGGACGGGGTGTGAGGGATGAGGTGCAGGAGATGTGGGAGACACGGTTGAGGGCATTCTCGACCACCGAGGTGGGGAAGTTACGGTCCTTGAAAAACGAGGACAACTGAGATGTACGGGAGTGGAATGCCTCATCCTGGGAGCAAATGCGGCGGAGGCGAAGGAATTGGGAATAGGGGATAGCATTTTTGCAGGAAGGTGGGTGGGAGGAGGAGTATTCTAGGTAGCTGTGGGAGTCGGTGGGCTTGAAATGAATATCGGTTTCTAGGTGGTTGCCCGATATGGAGACAGAGAGGTCCAGGAAGGGGAGAGAGGTGTTAGAGATGGTCCAGGTAAACTTAAGGTTGGGGTGGAAGGTGTTAGTGAAGTGTATGAACTGTTCGAGCTCCTCGTGGGAGCACGAGGCGGCGCCGATACAGTCATCAATGTAACGGAGGAAGAGGTGGGGTTTAGGGCCGGTGTAGGTACGGAAGAGGGATTGTTCCTTTTTTGAAGTGGTAGGCAGAGACTTGTTGGGAACTGCAGAGATGATGCTCAGATGCTGGCTATTGACAATATTTATTAATGGTTTAGATGTGTGAACTTATATTTCCATGTTTGCTGACAACAGAAAGTTGGACAGGAGGGTGAACTGTGAGGAGGATGCAGAGATGTTGCAATGTGACTTAAGTGAATGGGAAAATGCAAGACACATGAAATATAATGTGGATAAATATGTGATTATCCACTTTAGTAGCAAAACCAGGAAGGAAGATGATTATTTAAATGGCAATAGATTGGGAAGGGTGAAGGGGCAATGAGACCTGGGTGTCCTCATACGCCAGTTATAGAAAGTAAGCGCACAGGTGCTGCAGGTCTCAAAGAAGGGAAGTGGTTTGTTGGCCTTCATGGGGAGAGGATTAGAGTACAGGAGCAGGGATGTGTTGCTGCAATTGTACAGGGTGTTGGTGAGACCGCATCTGGAATACTACATGTAGTTTTGGTCTCCTTATCTGAGGAAGGGGGTTCTGGTTATGGAGGGTGTGCAAAAAAAGGTTTACCAGACTGATGGCATAGCAGGATTAACTCAGAGAGTGGTGAACCTGTGCAATTCTCTGCCACAGCAAGTCGCTGAGGCCACAGCTTTGAATGTTTGAAAGAAGTTAGATATACCTCTTGGGTCAAAGTGGATCAAAAGGTATGGGGGGAGAAAGCAGGAACAGGGAAGTGAGTTGGATGATCAGCCACGATCATATTGAATGGCTCAGAGAGCTCAAAGGGTCGAATGGCCTCCTCCTGCTTCTATTTTATATATTTCCATATTTCTATTCATGGTGAGAGGAAAATCTACATCAACTTATTGTGCTAACTCTGCCCTTTGACAGATCTTACGAAGCCTGTTGATGACTTCTGGAATGTTCTGTTTGACAAGACAGCCTTGAACAACCGTTAACAAATTCTGTGCTCAGTTTTCCAGTCGATGGTTTAACTACAACAATGTGAATTCCAGTATCCATTAATCTGGGAATAAATCAGTCTGACACTAACATCATTAATCCTGACAGGGGCAGATTCACAAAAGATGTATTCTGACTATTGGATCTTAGTTACATCTAGCTGTTTCTCTATTCCTATAAATGTTAGAAATGTATTTTTAATATCTAGAATAGTGATTAACAGATTAAAGCAAAATATATTCCCTACCAAATGGAATAATTGTCAATATTATTTGAGTGCCAGGGTCTTCTTCCTGCTCTATTACATCCAATCAACATCTAACAAAGGAAGGAGTACATACGATTCTGGTTTTCCATAAGAAGAATATTGTTAAATTTGAGGGTGCACAAAAGATTTACAAGGATGTTGACAGGATTGGAGGGTTTGAGTTATAGGGAGAGGTTGAATAGGTTGGAACCTTTTTTCCCTGGAACGTCCAGGGTTGAGCTATGACCTTGGAGAGGTTTATAAAATCATGAGGGGCATGGATAGGGTGAACAACCAAGATCTTCACCCCAGGGCAGGGGAGTCCAAAACTAGAGGGCATAGGTTTAAGGTCAGAGGGGAAAGATTTAAAAAGGATCTGAGGGGTAACGTTTTCACACAGAGAGTAGTACGTGTATGGGATGAGCTGCTAGAGGAAGTGGTGGAGGCTGGTTCAATTACCACATTTAAAAGGCATCTGGATGATACATGAATAGGAGGGATTTAGAGGGCAAAATGCTGGCAAATGGGACTAGGTCAGATTGGGATGTCTGGTCAGCCTGGGCAAATTGGGCCAAAGGGTCTGTTTCCATGCTGTACAACTCTGACTCTATGAGTACAGACTGGTTTCATGTCATTTCCAAGTATTGTCAGAGATTATCATTTCTTATCATTAAATCTATCATTTTTGGTTTGCTTGTCCTACAATATTGCACTTCCATTATGTTACTGTCTGAACAAACAGACTGTCAATATTAGTCTGTAGCATCAATTTTCTGTATCCGATTGCTTCATTTTTAAAGTACCAAACACAGCAGACACTGGAAATCAGAAATACAAACAGAAAATGCTGGATATACTCAGCAGACCTGGCAGCATCTGTGGACAAAGTTCACAATTCACCTGACTGACTGTTCATAAGAATTCGTGGTTAGATACTGGTTTTCACTCACAGAAAAGGATGGCTTCTGAGGTAAAATACTGTAGGGTCTTCAGCTTTGAGGAAACCATTCCAATATCACAAACAAAAACAGAAAACACTGGATAAATTCAGCAAGTCTGGCAGCGTCCATACAGAGAAATACAGAGTTAATGTTTCGAGTCCAGTGACCTTTTATCAGAACTCACTGGATACAAAACATTAATTCTGTTTCTCTCTCCACAGATGCTGCCAGACCTGCTGAGTTTCTCCAGTAATTTCTAATTTTATTTCAGATTACCAGCATTTGCAGTTCTTTTTCTTTAAAACTCAATATCACAAACTCAACTAATGCAATTTAAATTTCCCAAGAGTAAAGAGATTTGAACATGTGCCTTCAGGTGATTAGCACAGGCTTGGATTTACTAATCCAGCAACTTAACCATGATGCTACTGTGCCCTCTATTTAGAATAACCTGAGAATGGGTTAGCTCAGTTGACTGAATGGCTGAGTTGCAATTCAGTGTGATACCAATAGTAAAGATTCAAGCCCCTTACCAGCTGAGGTCACCATGATGGCCCTGCCTTCTCATACAGTCATGCAGCACAGAAATAGGCCCTTCAGCCCACTTCATCCATTCCGACCAGGTTTCCTAAACTGAATGAGGCCCATTTTCCTGCGTTTGGCCCATATCTGTCTAAACCTTTCCTATCCATGTACCTGCTCAAATGTCTCAGCCTTGCCCTTAGCTGAGGCACAGTGACCTTCATGTTAAACCCACCATCAGTCGTCTCTCCCTCTCTCTGATGGAAGAGCATTCTATGGCCCTCTGGGACTTTGTCGACTTTCACTTCACAAGTTATAACCTACAATCTGAAAATTGCTTTGGTTTAAAAAAAAAATGCATTTTGGTAATAAAATGCATTTTTGACTACAGAAACAGCAGCAGTTAATGGGGGAACTGTACACGATGAAATTGTTTAAATACTTTGCTTTTAAGCCAATGAGCAGCTTAAACAGTAACTTACAGCATTCTCTGCCTTTGATTGGCTCAGGCAATCCAGTGCACGTTCCTGGAGATTTAGGAATGGCAACTCTCCACCGGGACCCAGTATTATCACATTCCGTGTACTCATAGTGATAATCATTCTGTATATTAAAAAATACAATAGGAACATCTATTACATTAAAGAAAGGAATTGACCTGGGACAGCACAACACCTGCCAAAAGTAAAGTGGGGGGTGGGGATAGCACCTTCCAAATCTCAGGCATAATTATCTCCACACTGCCATGTGTTCGCGCAGTTATGCCATTTCTATACAATGAAGATACAAGAGAGTCAGATAGAATCAACCTTTCAATGTTTTCTGACAATTCAATCACCCCACGTGAAGGAAACAGGCAATATTTATTCCTCAAACGTTGATAGACTATCCAGTCATTTTCCTTTTCTCCTTGCTGTTTGGGAGTGCTTACCATGCATAACTCAGCTACAAAGCTTCTCCATAGCAGAATGGCCTCTGTACTTCTATCAACCGCACAGCACCTTTGGGCTTCTGAGCCCGAAAAGACACATCAATACAACAAAAACAGAAGTTGCGGGAATAGCTCAGTAGGTCTGGCAGCATCTGTGAAGAGAAATCAGAGCTAACTTTGAGTCCAATCACCTTTTCTCAGAATGGTTCTGAAGTAGGGTCACCAGACCCGAAACGTTAACCCTGATTTTTCTTCACAGATTCTGCCAGGCCTGCTGAGTTTTTCCAGCAACTTCTGATTTTGTTCCTGATTTACAGCATCCGCAGTTCTTTCGGTTTTTACATAAACAGAAGACTCATAATCTGGTATTAGTGTTGTGTTTTTATCATCTACTATATTTCTCCTGTGCTAAGCTACTTCAAACACAAAATTACAGTGTACAATTTAGTTGAGCACTAGTGATTTATTGGGATTTGAAATCTACCAAATGTCCACATGTCAAACCAGGAAAAGAGGGAACCAAGGAATAGGATAAAAAGCATGGTCAAACAGGAGGGTTTTCAAGAGGTTATTTTGAGGAGGACTGCAAGGGAGAGACTTTGGGAGGAACATATTGAAACGGGTGGTTGAATGAGGTTGCAGTTATTTGTCATTTTAATTTACCAGCCCACGCTTACGTCCATATCGTGTGCTGAATACAATGTTCCAGTGAAGCTCAAAACAAGCCCAAGGAACAGAACCCATCTTACAATTCAGGACTTCACAGCCTTCAAGCCTCATCACGGAGTTCAACTGTTTCAAACAATGACTTCTGTGTCCCATTTGGATTGTTTTTTTTTGCCACATGCGAGTCTCAATTTTGTTTCTCACGTTTTCGTTTTTGGACAAAGCTGTTCACTAACACTCAATTCGGATTAGTACTTAGTTCCTTTATTACAATCACTATCACTCCGTCTGCCTTCTCTTCCAAGACATCTTTGCCAGTCCATCTCTCCCACCCTCTACCCTATCCTAGATGTCCCTTTCTATTCTTCAATTCTGAAGAATTATGCTTCACTCAAAACACTAACTGTGGCCAGACCTGCTCAGTACTTAAAGCACTTTGTGTTATTAAGGAGAGAAGTAAGGCAGTCATATTTATAGATAGATAAGGCACTTATGACAATTTTGGAAGAACTGTAGGACAGATAAAGATAGGCAATATTACAGGAGAAGAATTAAGTAGCCATCATGATGAAAATGTATATGACTTTGTTTGCTGCTACCTTGGTAAATTTTATTCCCATGGTAATGGAGTCCTCTTTCATCTGGTGAACAAACTGTATTGATAAACTACTTCATCACTATCACAATCTTGAAAGTTTAAATTCTATCACTTAAACTATCAAACTTCCTTCAAAACCTTACATTTCCAAGGCTGAGAATTTTTGTTTACTTAGAACAGGAGTAGGTCAATCAGCCCCTCAAACCATTTAATGACATCATGGCTGATCTGCAGCCTAACACCTGATAACTGTTTTGGCCTACATTCCTTAATATCTCTGCTTAACAAAAAAATTATTACTCTCAGATTTAAAATTAACAACTAATCCAGCACCCACTGCTGTTTGTGGAAGACAGTTCCAAACCTCTACCACCCTTTGCGTGTCAAAGTGCTTCCTAACATCTCTCCTGAATGGTCTGGCCCTAATTCTCAGACGTTGTCCCGACTTGTAGAATCCCAACCAGTGAGATTAGTTTATTCTCATTTACCCCGTATTTTCCTATTAATATCTTGAAGACTTTGACCAAATTACCCCTTAACCTTCTAAATTCTAGACAAAACAGGTCAAGTTTGTATGATCTCTTCTCATAACCCCTGAAGTCCAGGTATCATTCTTATAAACCTACACTGTAATCCCTCCAAGGCCAATCTATCCTTCCTAAGGTGTGGTGCACAGATCTGGTCAAAGTTCTCCCAGTGGGGTGTAACCAGGGTTTTATATAACCGCAGCATAACTTCTGCATCCTTGTATTCCAGTCCTCTAGATGTAGAGGCCAGTATTCCATTAGCTTTCTTGATTATTTTCTGCATCTGTTCATGACATTTTAAAGATCTATGAACCAGAACTGCCAAGTGTCTTTGGATATTCACTGTATTTAACTTCATACCATCTACAGAGTACCACGATCTATCCTTTCTTGGACTAAAATGAATAACCTCACATTTGCTTGCAGTGAACTCCATCGGTCACAGTTTTGGCCTTTCACTTAGCATAAAATTACAAAGGAATTATCGATAGTCTATCTGCTGCCCTCTCTCAAAATAATGATTTGCTTTCCATGATCAGGTGACCAGATTCCTGACGGGATCTGACACTAATGTTGATTGCAGCAATACAACCTCTGGATATGTGATTCACTCTCAATAAGCTGCACTGAAGTTCTTTCTCACATACCTTAATTAAATTTCACAGCCAAGCAATGGATTATTACTTATCTTTAACAATAACAAATTGTATTTATATAGTAGCCTTAACACAGCAAATCAGTCCCAAGGCACTTTACAGGAGAATCCTGTTATAAAATATGTCACTGAAGGCCAGAAGTTTTTGGCAAACTCATACCATAAGTTGAGCTACCATATGCACTAGCCAAAGAGACAAGGCCAAAGATGATGGAAAGAAGCACTTCCGGCTATCGTTGAAAAGCTCCATGGTGTGCAGTAGTTATTAGAGTAGAACAAGGGAGCCAGGCTGTGGTGGTCCCAGATCTGATCACATATCCCACAGAAAGTAATCAACCAGCCCCGACACAAACGTCAGATATTCGTGGGTGGGGTCAAAGGAGCAATGGCCACTGAGATACAGTAAACAAGTGCCCTCAAAGGAGAAACAAAAAGAGAAAAAAAGTTACAGGAAGTGCCATAAATATGTGCATATTTCATTTTAAAACTGTTAAGCATTGTCACACAGAAGAACGATGAGAGGTTCTTGTCAGGTTTTCATTCTTTTAATAACCCAATGGCTCCTTTGTTTATTAAGGCACTGCTTAGAATAACACTTCACCAATAAATATGAGCAAACTTGGTGATAAGGAGTTCACTGACTGGATTTGTTTTCATTTTATCCCAGCCCCTCCCTCTTCCTAGAACCATTTGGCTCTAATTCTGCTAAACAGGAATTCAACACAGGACGCTAAACACCAACAACCAGCACAAGGGACGACAAATTCGCAAGGATCGGAAAGGCAGTCCAAACAAATAATTTTCTTCCCGAGATATCATTCAGAAATTTGAAAGTCATCCAAAAATAGGTGGTGAAGAGCACACATTACATGTTCCAGGTTGAGCAACTCATCCTCAATAGGTGGAAAATGCCAAGATGTTTCAAATTTTGTAGTCAGCAAGCAGAAGGAGAGGTCTTCATTTCATTCTGTCACTCCCAGAAATATCAGCCTTATATCAACCCTGACCCAACAGAGCCGCGGAGAAACTGACAGGCTGACCCTCAATAAAACTAAGAGTACTTTTTTAGAAAAGCTAATTATATATTCACCTAAATATTGTTCCTCCCCGCACATAAGGCCAAAGAAAATTAGTCAGGCCATCAAGCATCATGATCTGTAGCTTCCTGAAAGATGCGTTGGCGTACTTGTTTGAAAGAAGAGGCACTTTCAAGATTACAAGTGTATCTGTTTCCTTCAGTAAAAAATCACTTAGCTTGGAAGTGTTCCAACATTTACACACAGGGCTCTCTTTGGCTGCAAATCAAGGATAAAGTTCATATCTGCCTATGTTGTTCACTCAGCAAATTAAGACTTAAGACATTATCTTAAAACAGAATTTACCACAAATGTTGTTTCTGGCAAATTATTACCTTAAATCATCAAGAATTTCTTTCAGGATGCTGGGAAATGGAGAAATACTCCAGCCATTCATTTGAGGAGTAACATTCACTGAGTGGAGTGCTTTGATGTTGCCACGTCATCAATGTCTAGCTAAACTGTTACCAATCCCTGAAATCTGTTTGACATCATTTGAGCTTCCTACCCACATACTGCACTGCACCACAACGAACGACTTCACCTCCAGATTATCACACATTGCTGCCTCTACCTCACTCAGCCTGCTGTTGAATCCATGGTACAATCAACTCTAGAACTGACAACTGCACAGTATTCAGCACCATTCACAATTCCTCAACAAATTAAGCAATCCATGCCCATACATAGCAAGACTAGATAATAATCAGGCTATTGGCTGAAACAGCAAGTCAGATGCTAGGAACTCTGTGATAATTTACCTCCTGACTCCCAAAGTCTTTCCACCATCTACAAGGCACAAGCCAGGAGTGTGATGGAATACTCCCCACTTGCCTGGATGAGTGCAGCCCCAACAACACTCAAGAAGCTTGACACCATCCAGGACAAAGCAGATTGATTGGCACCACATCCACAAGCATCCACTTCCTCTATCACCAACACTCAGTAGCAGCAATTTACTTAAGCAATTCACCAAGGCTCCTTAGTCAACACCTTCCATTTTGATGACCACTTCCATCTAGAAGGACAATGACTGCAGATATATGGGAACACCATGTCCACTTGCAATTTAAGCCAACAAAGCCACTCACAATCCAGATGTGGAGATGTATTGCCATTCCATTAGTGTTACTGAGTTAGTATCACGGAGTTAAAATCCTGAAACTCTGTCTCCTAACAACAAAGTTGTGTCTAGACCACATGATTTCCAGCGGTTCAAGGCAGCAGCTTCCCACCACCTTCTCAAGAGCAACTAGGGATGAGCAATAAATTTCCACATCCATAATTCAAAAAATAAATTAAAACTTCAAAAGTTGTCCTCCCATCCTTCAATCTCAAACACTTCAAACTCTGCTCCACATATCCTATTCTGTGCCATGCAAGTCACCTCTAACTTTGGTACATATTGGTGTAAAGAAGTTTCCAGTCTTCCTTTATCACAAGTTAAAATTCTCATCCAGGTAGGTTATAATTTCCCAAAGCCAAATAACCACTACCAACTCAGTCCCTTGTAATCTCTCTTGGTTCACTGTTTGACTGATTCTGACCTTTCAAGCTTCACCCCTCCCTTTACTTCCCCACTGTTAGTTATTCAAGAGTCAAGACCCCACGATCTAAGATTCTCTTCCCAAAACCCTACATCTTTCTATCTCACATTTATGGACTCCTTAAGAACCATCTCTTCAAACAAGCTTTCAGTCATATATAATATCTTCTTCATTTTGGAATCCATTTTTTATGGAATTCCACATCTTCACCATGGATGTTCATTGATGCTAAAGGCACAGCACATGAGAAATTGCTGTAATTGCTCCTTTAAACGTTAATGTTCAGCCTCAGCCATTTTAATCCATACATTTTATTCATCACAGTTGGATCAGGGCACAGATGAATAAACAAAATCTTCAAGATTTGACTCCAAGCTCTTGGCCATCTACTTGATCTCTCACATACAGAATTCACACTTTCCATTCAAGAGTTTGATCCTCAGCTCTTAAATTCAGCATCAAACTGACACTCAAGCCCCCAACAAAACACAAGAATGGTCAGTGTGATAAAACCACTGAGGGTCTATGGTGTTTTTGTTTAGATCAATTAACACATACTTAGGGCAACAAACAGGGAACTTTGCTTTGCAAGTTGCCAGTGCTATGCTGGGGAA